ACGTTCCGCTATAGCGTCGCCTGAAAAAGTGATAGAACGCAAAAGTGACTATGTGAATAAGTGATCATTTTATTCACTCATCTTATTTGTAACATTCGTAATATAGATAGTGTGTTTTCGGTTGTGCACGTCTGATGTGTATGTGTCTATTTATCGAAATGAAACAAACTATAAGAAAATTTCGTTTTAATGTAAACATAAAACTTAAAAACATAAAAACGTATATAGATAACTATTTTTCTTTATAGCTAGTTATGAGTCTTTGCGAGAAATGTGCAAAGTTTTACGGTTTACCAGATGAAAATAATTTGTGTTCATTTTGTTTCGACCCCACAAGAGCTGAAGCCAAACTTCATTGGACCAAACGTCCGCAAGATCCGGTCGAAATAAAACAACGGATCGATCAATTGACACTTTCAACCGAATTATTTGATCTATTGAAACAGTAGTTGTTGTCATCCGTAGACGATCGTTCACGCGCAGCAATAAATGATTGAAGACGTTTGTCTTTAATAACAAATCAAAAAATAAATCAATTTGGAGTTGATCATGAAATGGAGAACGGTGTGATCTTCATGGCTGAACCGGCTAAAAATTTATACAACCTATCTACATTCAGAATTCCATTCAATGATGAACAGTAATGATTTAAATACATGGAATGCTGCTGCTGATTATTATAAATCTCTGTTTCAGATTTCATCCGTGGAGATTAGAACATTTATTATGTATTTATTATGTCATTGATAACTGGAATATTGATCAAGAAGTGATGCATGTTGACCATTGTTATTGTGGTAGTTATTATAGACCATCAACTCCTGAAGATATCGATATTCTAAATTTCAAACAGTTGAAACTACATGAAAATGTATTGTGAGAATTTAGCATATTGTTTGTGTCTAAAATAATTAAAAAAAATATGCTTAAAAATAAAGAATTTGATTTGAATTTTTGGTATTGGGTAGATATACTCATGTCATACTGCAATGATTATGAACTGCAAAAATTATTTTTTTCCATCCGTGACCCCATAGTTCCGTGGAACAGGTTTCTTGTTAAGACCCTCCCTCCAAAAAGTCGATTTTCGAGGGCATATGGCCTGAGATGTCTACTTTATAAATATATAAAAATATTATTGAATCTCGGGGAGTTTTAAAGAGTTTTTTAGAAAATTCTATAGCTCTCTGAAGCGATTATTACACTAGGTCTCAAAATTGATCTACAAGATGAATTTTCGATTTCTTTTTCATATTATGTAGTCCAAAGTGTCCGCTCCGAACCGGGAATTAAGCGAACTCTTAATTTTTCCTAGTTCAGGGGTGGCATCGGTGTTTCTGAGAGTCCCAGGATCAATATTTCTTCCAGTGTGGTAATTCCGATAACGCACAGAAAACTAAGTAATCAACCACGCTAAATTTCGTGGCAACATTGATTTTTCGAAAAGTTTCAAAAACCTAGTGAAAACTTATATTAGATGAAATAACTCATTTTGCCTATTTTTAAGTATAACTAAAATATTCATAAGTCAGTCAAAATCCATCCAAATTATGTCAGACTATCAAGATGTACTCTATTTTACCTCCTCAATGTGATTTTTTACTTAAGAATAGTAAAAAATATTCTTGCAGTTCGGAAGATTTCTAAAAAACGTTTTCAAAACCCAAAGTATTTTCTGTTGATTTTTGTAGCTTTTGTTGAACGTCATAGCATTGAGCAGGAAAAATAGCACATCTTGATAGTCTGACATAATTTGGATGGATTTAGACTACGTTATGAATATTTTACTTTTACTTAAAAATAGACCAAAATGTGTTATTTCACCTAATATAGGTTTTCACTAGGTTTTTGAAACTTTTTTGAAAAATAAATGTTGCCACAAGATTCAATGTGGTTGACTACCTATGTTTCCATTCGTTTTTGGAATTATCACACCGAAAGAAATATTGATCCTGGGAAGGACCACTGATACCACACCTGAACTAGGAAAAATTAAGAGTTCGTTCAGTTTCTCTTTTGGAGAGGACACTTTGGACCATATATGTATGAAAAAAACTGATAGCTTGCTATCTTAGTATCCAGAGATCTGAACTCATTTTCCGAAGGCCTCCTAGAAAACCGATCTTCCGAATTTATTTCGAAAAGGATTTTGCTTAAGAAAACATAGAGACAAAACTGTTTTCTTTTGACTGCTAAAAAATCTTCCAAATCTTTATCTTTTATCGTCTTTGAGTTATTCAAAAAACGCTAATTAGCGTGATATTTTTCTAGATTGTCCGCAAAAAAATCTATAAATATTCCGCGAATAAAAACCTTCTCGAATTTTCCAAACATAAATTATCAGTATTATTTTTCAGCGTTTTTCTATAACTTCTAAATCAAAACCCTTACTGAATCAAACATCTTCATCCCCATTCACCTAGAGAATGAGGGACTAAGAACTGAAGAATGAAACGGAACATATTAGACGTACAAAGCATAATATCATTCTATTACGCATACTGGTAGTAAGAAATCGCATCCGAAACAAAATAACAAACAGCCATTTTAACTTAGAATAAGATTTTCGAATTTGATCTATTGCTGCGTCTACTGTTGGTTTAGCTCTCCGCTCCCACAATCCCTTCGTCAGAAATAGTCCATATTTCACCAAAGCACTTCAATCATGGGCGTTTTCCATAAAAGGCCCATATTGAGCTAAGCACATGACTGAAGAGCCCAATGTGTCTATTTTTAGAATCTATACTATTTGTGCTAATATCAGAGGTTTCTGGGGGCAGATCTTCTAAACGCCGTAAAAGTCTACATTTTCTGAAATTCTGATATTTCAATGAAATATCGACATTAAAGAGGATTCTATCAACTCCAATTCGTAGAGTAATTTGTGATTTAAACGAGAAGTCTCCCAGCACCGAGCAACGCTTTAATCGAAAGTTATGACACTTTTATTAAGAGCCCTCAAACGTGCGTCCTACACTAGCGTCATTATATCTAAAAGCGACTTTTCCTACGTAATATACACTGTCGGAAAGATTTATCCATCAAATTAAGCGCTAGAGAGCTCGGATTGAGATTAAACTGAAGCTAAGACATATGGAAACAATGTGAAAGAGCCCAACTTTTGATTTAGGCCGTCATTCTCTTACATTGTCGAAAGTTATATCCCAGTCATCGCACTTTTTCCGAACTTTTAAGGTAAAACCCTTCGGAAAATAAAACAAAGAAAACATTCGAAAATCTGGTTCTTTTATGTCGTTACTCTAACTTCAGTTTATGTTTTAAAACCAGCCCGAGCGCTCCAGCTGTTTATGGCATTCTATCTGAGGCGCCGAAACTTAAGTATCTAAAGTGCTACTACTTGCTACTTAATTTAACTTTAATTTGAGACTTGCCATTTTTAATGATAAACGAGCAGATTCATTCTCAAGCCATTTCGACCAATTTTTTGCAAAAACAAAATTTTGCAAAAATGACAAAAACATCATTGACAAAATTCTGTATTAGTTGATCTTTTTGCAAAAGTTTGTACTCAAATAGCTCTTTTTTGAGATATTTTAATGTTTAACGCAGAACTTCTTTGAAAAATTTCTACATGGACGTCATCTGTTTAAGTGAAAAGAGAAAAAAAGATCATCGTGACCAATAGCAGTTGAGTACATGAAGGAACATGAAGGAATACCGTTCATATAGCAGCCAACATCATCGCTACTGTCGAAATATCTCATTTCGAATGTTTTTGACCATTGGTGGTTCGAAAAAGTTCCGCAGAAAAGTTTTAACTTAAAAACTAGAGAAATTAAACTAAAAATTCAAAGATGGTTTCTAAAGCTCTCCTAGAAAAGCTTGGCCTCGTGGTATTGGAATCTCGCCAAACCCCTACGTTTGTTCAGTTTTTAATGCTTTATCCAACCACATTTGAACCGAGTCCCCATCTCTTAGCTGAGCTGAGCTATAGTCATTTTAAAAATAGTTCAATTTTCTAAATTAAAGAATTGAAATTTTGAGTTGAAGCCTTGATTTTTTTCAAATAATTCGCCTTTCGACGCTGAATCTAAATATGTAATTAAAAAATGTTCCGTGTCCTAACTGTGATTTTTAAAACGCTTTTAATTCAACTACTGCCGTTTTCAAAATAGAATGTGTGCGACTGTGAGTTGAATGACTCCGAGACTTCAATAGCTGCGGATCTGCAGTTTTCACCATCGTGTAGTCAGGTCCTTGGAACATAGATATACATGAAAAAAAAATTTTTTGATAAGATTTTGCGAGGTTTTCTAGAAGGATCTCTGAAAAACCAGGTGAGCAAAGATAGAAGGTTTGATGGAATTTCGATTGTGGGGTATTCTTTGAATAGCCCAAAGAGTTTTGTACATTTTTACATAGTCCCCGTATTTTTCTGACCTTGCAAACGAACGCTAGACCCAATATACAAAACCTACCAAAACGCATCTTTCAGCTAACTAAAAAAAACAGTTCTCAGGAAAAGAGACATTACACGTCGATATATAGGTTTTAGGACACGCCAATCATCGTGGCAGGCTTCCTTTTGTGCTAGTCTGATTGAAACCTATCAATTTAAGCTTGGCTCTATCGAGTGCCGTAACTACAGTTTCCATTAGCGGCCTTGATGACTAGACAGGAAGACAAAATGATATCTTAATTAACATAGAAGTTGTAGAAATATTATAGACTGTGATAGATGTTAGAGTGTATCCATTACCCAGACATCGGCACGCGTTGCATCTTCTCTTCTGTTTGGTGGTCTCAGCTTCTGCTATGCTCTGTCGCATCGCACATGTAGTCCATTGTCGTCACACGCCGGTGGTGCCCGTTGCATCATCCTCTGCTTGGTTCTGTTGCAACTCATATATAGTCGAGCATTGTCTTATTTCATACGTGCTATATATAGTGGCGATTTCTTTGCAATAAATCACTACGCTACAGCCACCGTCCTCCATCTGTTCTTCCTAGTTAGTCACGCTCTCGCTAGGTGCATCCGCTCACAAAAGATCATTCACTATCATACACAACTTTGACTGATTGTAGCGAAAGGTAACGAACTCTCAGTTGATCAAAAGACGATTTTCTTCCGTGTCATCGACTTCGTTGAACGCGAGAAGGAGGACTCGATTATTCCGCTAAACGACATGATGGCTTGACTTACTACTATACTTGGAATTAGCGAAACCTCGCTTGGCAATTTGAAACAGGAGCTAGCTGAGCAGCGGTAACAGCATCAACAGCAGATGGAAAATGAGGCTATGCCCCCGCGCCGTCGAACAACGTCTGAAAGGGTACGCGCGAAAGAGCATCGCTAGCGACGATATTCGGAAGTGGTTTCGAAAATTCTTGTTGATGTCCCGTCTCCCGTGCCGCCGATGAAGATTGGAAAATCAGGACGTCCGACTGCGATTCTCAGCGAGCTGGCCGAAGACACCATTCGATACCACTTTCATCTTCTTCGCGCCGAAAAGAAATATCCGACAATTGCCATTTGGTTATGAAAACATGTCCCCAAGTCTCCTCTTTCGAATGGTGAAAATTGAAGCTCTTTAGCTTTTTCCTATCGAAAGTTATTCAAAAAACAGTCATATACCATTCTTTTTTTGGATGGACAATAGTTACGATTGTAAAATTGTTTGTTATGTTGTTTACTGGGAGAGTCCGAGACGTCTATACCGGGCAGACCTTTGACTTCAATCTCGATCAAGCATCATTCTCATACTCAGTTCCTGCTGCTGAATCCGACAAAAATACTTTCGAAAGGTTAGAAGAATGTAAAAGAAAAAAATAGTTTGAATTTTCTAGAAATCGAACGGTTTTCCGAGATTTGAGACCCTTCTAGTGACGCTTCTTCATTTAAAAACCAATTCTACAAAGCTAAAATGCAGCCATTCTTGATCAGCTCGTCGAGCTCTACCGATTAATCTACAATTAAGCCTATATCTATAAAATAAATTGGTCTGGAACCTGTGATTTCTTCAACTGTGACGAATTTATGATACATTAATTTTCTCTTAATTGCTATTCTGATAATTGACTGCTAGGAAGAATGTATATTCAAGTTATTTCTAATTTATTATAAACTTGGCACAGTCAGGCACACTTTCAATTATGTATTCATGGAAAAAGTGATAGAATAACGACGAGGTGGCCACTTCTTCATCGAAGGTGTATCAAACTAACTCATCGCTATTATCAACGATTAATCGTCCAAAACCGCCTTTTCAACTCGTGATGATCATTTCTAGTTGCAGCTTTACCTCAGGGAATATCAAACAGCCCTGAAACGTTCGCTCTGAAGAGCGAGATGTCCTAATTAGGACGTCTCGCTAGACAATAATCAAAAGTCAGAGAAATCGTCGCAGTCAATTAAATCGTTTTCGTCTCATTTTTTGATTTATATGTATCATAAATAGATATCGGGCGAAAACGTATGTTATCATTGTTAGACTCAAGTCAAGCTAAGAATTATCGAAAAAGATTTAACGTTTTAGAACAGCAACTAAACATGCACAAGTCTGACTAGACATTAACGAGAATCTAGAGAAAGTGTCTCAATCAATCAGATTGTTTTTCTCTTAATATGGTATACGATTTACAAATGCATTGTATTCAAATGGATCTTGTTGAAGTATGTCGTCTAAGTTTGATTTTGTTACCAGACTCACTTGAATGGTGTTTTGATAGTTTGCTTTACCAGATAGTAGTTTTGCTTTCAGTTGTTCTCCAATCAGAAGACTCGTTTGAGCGCCCGAATAATATGCTGTTGCTCTAACATATATATTTTCACGTATGTATTCAGCAAGTTCTACATTGCAATCAACTGATATATGAACGATATTTTTAATTCCATTTTGTTTTAGATAAATGGCAACACCATTGCCCATTTCACCGGAAAATGTAACAATGGCTTTCGTATCTGGATTACCACTTAATGCTTGTGCAATGACCGGTATCGTTATATTTTGGTCATAAAAACCTTGACTATTAACAGCAACAGTTAGACCGGTGTTATTTATTTTTGCAAGAAATGCTTGATTCACGACACTCGAAAATCGTTCACCAATAATGCCTTGGATAACGATTACTTTACCACTGTTGACGTAGTCAATTAAATAACCACCGAGTATATTACCAATTTTTACTGCATCTACCGTTGCAACAAAATTGAAATACGGTTTACCATTGAAATTAGGTATCCATACTAGATTGCCAAATAGAACCGAACTATATTTGGCTAATAGACCACAATACTGTGCCGATTCTGGCGAGACCGGCTGAATCATAATACCATCATACTTTTGCGTGATGAATTTATGGACGGTTTCGAACTCGACATAGGGATCATTATTGGTATAGGCAAGTTTAGTTTTAAAACAGTTTGTTGAATTAAATGCTTTGAACATGCCTTCGCCCACATAACGTGTATATTTGTTCTGGATGGCCAAAACTGCAACGATCTTGTAAACTTTGTTATTTGGACACTGTTGGCTAATTATATGAGGAACATATATGACTAGTAAAATGAAGCTGCATAGGAGTAATTTACACATTGTTTAAATTCAATCTCTAAAACTACAATGATGTTAAGCATGCAGTTCCACGCGCAATTCAAACACTTGTCATATACATACACGACAGGCAGTATAAAACCTTTAGAAGTGTAGAGCACGTGTATAAATGTGAAACACAGACATCTGTCTCGATGTTTGAGGATATCCGGCGCACGTTTCGTAGGCATCTGGTCGAGTGAAAGGCTTAGTATTAAAAACCCGTCAGGAGACTATAGTTATTCGCCTAACCTTCGTATGCATATCCAAATGTATAATTTGTTTCATATAACATATAAACTCATTTCGCAACATTTTCCACTGCTCCTCAAACACACAAACAAATGATGAAGCTAGCACAAATGAGTCTGATATTGCTGTATATATAAATATCATTCAATCAGAATTTCAATTCAAATCAAACACCCTTAACTCGTTGACAGAGCTTTTCTCATTCGCAAACCTTCTTTATGAACCATTAAAGGTAAGCCACGATCTATTACTGTATAAGAGTGCTTTATCGACTATCTCAGATTTGTTCCAACATAAAGGGCTTCTTTACAGCAAATATTTTCATGAATTTCGGCGAAAACCGAAGACCCCAAGGTTGTTGTGTTGCGGATATATTGATTTTTTACGGAAAGCCCGTAAAAATACATTTTGAAAAATGGTCAACTTAACCCTTTGCCCCCGGATGTCCCCACCTGTGGGCATTGATAAAATCTATATACAAAAATTACGAAGCGTCATATCAGAACCCGATTTGTTTCAGCCTTAGAGACTTCATAAGCTCTAGATTGTTAAAAAAGAATTTTTTCTCTAGGGAGTCTTGACTGGTGTAATTAACTTTTGAAATTAAAGAATTTCAAATTTTCGAAGTCTTTTAAAAACTTTTTATATAGATTTAGCCATAGAAGGGTTTTCGTGTGGTGGTTGATAACTATTGCTATAAAGATCTATTCTATAATTACACAAGAAAACAAAGTTTCGGTCAAGTTGCCTTGATGCACCGTGTCAAGTAATGAAATATCCACACCATTCCATAGAAAAAAAACTCTTTTTTACCAATCGAGAGCTTATGAAGTCTCTAAGGTTGGAACAAAATCCGGCTCTTATATGACGCTTCGTTATTTTTGTATATAGATTTTATCAATTTTCACGGGTGTGGACATCAGGGGGGAGTGACATGAGAAATATTGATTTTTTCGTTTTACATTTTTTGTTAGCTATCAGTAATTCAAAGTATCGAAACTTTTTATTTTTTAGCTTAAAGCCAGCCAGTCTTATCTGGCAGTTCGGTCTCATAGCCCGAACGGGATATATATCCCGTTCGGGCTATAAAAATATATCCTGATCGGGCTATGATATATATCCCGTTCGGGCTATAATATATATCCCGTTCGGGCTATAATATATATCCTCTTCGGGATATAGCCCGATCAGGATATATTTTTATAGTCCGAACGGGATATGGTATACTGAAGGCACATCAAGACACGGTGTTTTTTGTTTTTGGATGTGGGAGTGGGAGTTCATCTTTGAAGAAAACTAAGTTTATCCATACCAAGGTTACAGAGCATTTTCACTTGTAAAAATCCTACGTTGAAATAATCATAGCCAAGAAGTTAAGCAACGATACTGACTACACATAATGCGAAGTACATTCTTTATTTCTCATCTTTTTTCTGTAT